TCCCTCTAATGGGAGGGGTATTCTCTGTAGAATGTATCTGCAAATATTTTTAAATAACAACAACAAAAATAGATAACATGTATTTACCATTTATTGTGTGGCAGGCTAAGTTCAAATAGTTTTACATGTATTAACACATTTAACGAGGTATGTATTTACTGCTATTGTGTCCATATTTTTTAGATGAACCTATAACATTATATTAAGTGTCTTTGTGCAAGGCAAAGTAGAATATGTCTGTTATCTCCCTTTGTTAGATGTTAGACTCTTGTCATTACTGCTTAAGACAGCTTTGGGGATGGTGGGGAAAGCCCTTTCATCCTGTTAAATTAACAAGTAATGCATACTGAGCTTTGAGCAAAATGAACCTTTGCCTTTGAATACATACTGTTTGTTTTTTATGTGTCCTATTTCCACAATTATGTTTTTGGAATTAAATGGAAAAACCAAACTCTGTACCAATTAAGTTTTGCTTCTCATTGCCACCTTTCTTTCTGGGTCCCAATTCTGTCATCTGATTATTTGCTGACTTACCTAGCTTCATGTCATCTACAGGTTGGAGAAATAGGACTTCTGTGTTTTCCCATCACTGAAGTTTAGAACAGTCAAGAATTAGGAACACAGTGATCATTTAAAAACCACCTTCCAGTTGTTCCTCTTGTTCTAACACACTTCATTACATTAGCGTGTATTTTCTATCTTGCCTGCAGGAATCTCTTTACTATACAATATTAATAATCATTTTTAGAGCTCCATGTTTTACCTCGTAATTTTTAACCATTTCTATTCATTTTAGTTTTTCTAACACGTGATTTTGTTGTTTTATCATGGTTGAGTCCAGATAATGCCCCTATGTCCAGTCAATGATCTATAAATCAAGTGACCTTTTGAATTCAAGAAGGAATTGAAATTGTGTTATTTAACAAAGCTGTCTTTTCTGCGAGCCCGACTCATGACCGGGACCTCACAGCCATCCTTTGGTCCTCCTGTGGCCTTGCCTAATTACTGGAAAGTTTCTGTGGCAGTTGGAATCTACCTTCTTTTTTGAAGACTGTAACCCTTTGGCCTGACTCTAGTTTTTATTATTTTTAAGATTTCTTAAAATTGATTTTTATAGAGAAAGAGGAAGGGAAAGGGAGGGAGGGAGGGAGGGAGGGAGGGAGGGAGAGAGAGAGAGAGAGAGAGAGAGAGAGAGAAAGGGAGGGAGGGAGGGAGAGGTGCACAACCCAGGCATGGGCCCTGACCAGAAATCAAACCAGCAACCTTTGCGTGGGACAACACTCAACCAGCTGAGCCACACTGGCCAGGGCACCTAACTGGTCTTAAATCACATCTCTTTTACCATAATCTCTCAAGACTACCAGCAGTGGTTTGATCAGAGATGTCATTTTAGGATTCTGGGTTGTAAGGTATGTAGGCCAAGAGGCCCGTGTGAAGTGGCTACGTGCTTTCTTTAAAATTGCTCGCTTTCGGGGCCTCGGTCGGCTTCCACTTAACATTTCTTCTTAAGCTTTTTAAATGGAAGATCAGAATCCTTCAGAGAACAAATAGAAACAAAAAAGATATTTACTTTCTGTTGTTTCTCAATCCCAAATAGTGTATCTCTTCCTGATTGTCATATTGTAGCTAACAAGTGAAAGGCAAAACTCTTTGGTTGTCTGTAGCATTTCCGTCAATCCACTTTGGTGAATGAAAGAGTGGAGAGTAGGAAGAGAGAAAAATGGTGGCTGGATGAGGCTATAGACAACCTAAAAATAGACAACACCCTGATATAGAATTGGTAGGTAAGCAAATCGTCACTTCAGGAAAGTGACTCATTTGCATATCTGGTGCTTTTGCCTGGATTTTCGTTTCCTTAAACAGTGGGGGAACTGAACGTGTTTGGGAATCATGTACTTATTAAAGTTCTGTGGGTTGGAAAGTGATAGAAAAACCCAACTCCAAAAAGGAATTTATTGACAAAGTACTGAAAAGATCGGGAAGGGGCAGACTTCTGGCACTGACCTGACCTGAGCCAGCTCCGACAGGCTCCTTTCTGCCCTTTTACCCTACGTCGCCCCTTCTCTCACAGAAGCTTTTACATCTCAGACTTCAGTTCAAGGAGCAAGTCTCCCCCTGGGGTCACAGCAGACGTCGCACTGCTACCTGTTGGCCCCTGAGTCCCCTCCTCCTCCCTGAACCAGGCGGTGCCTGGACGTGGGCGCAGACTGCGGGGAGATTTGGGAAGGGCAGATCTCTAAACGAGAAGTGGGGCAATTGCTGAAAAATGGGGGGAAAGAATGTTGAGGTGGCAAATAACTTATAATGCTTCTTGAATTCTGATTTTATGACAAATTGGCACATTTGGAATTATTTGACTGTTTTTTGACCGAAGAAGACTTCCGCTTCAACCTAATAAATGTAAAGATTTAAAGTGGAAACAGTCTAGTGGAAGGGGCATGGCTTTTGAGTCACAAATGGAGATTCAGATCCTAGCTCTATTAAGTATTAGCTTTATTATGTGTACTCATTGTTGAGGAATTTAACGGCACCCGGTAAATAACACCCTTTTTTCCTGCTTGAAGTCTGTCAAGAGAAAAGATGAAAATTGACACGCTGGAATAAAAATATTAGTTTTATTACTGACAGAAGCTGAAATGAAGGACATGGTATTTGTGTGACAACAGTGAGGCGCTATTATGGAACCCAGAACTAAACAGTTAGTCACCCCCACCCCAGGCACTTTGAACAACAAGTTTTTTAACCTGAGGGTCTGCCCCTGATAACGCAGACCAGAATGCATGAGTCCTGCAGACATCTGGCTCCCGAAAGGAGTCTGAGAGATGAAGAAGTGACTTAATGTCTAATAGCTCTCGGAAAATCTATCAGGCAGCTCATTTCACCTCAGTGGGAATTGGTGGGTCAGAGGCCAGGAAATGTTGAGGAAGTTTCTCTTTGTGGAAACCAGAGCAGTGATGACATACATGCCTCTAACACACAGGTTTATGCATGTTAATTATTTTATCTCTGGACAAATGATAACAATTTAGTATAGAGTTAGTGTGATGTTCGTTCAGATGCCAACAAATTTGGAGTGTGAAAACTCAAGGAGATTATCAGTAAGCTCCCTCTCCAGTTTTTGAAATTGGATTATTATAATTATTGTTGTGTGAGTAGGAGGAAACCCATTTTGCCTAGGAGATTAATTAAATTGGTAATAATTGGGCAAGGATAAGGGTTTATGACATGGGAGGGAGCAGACATGAAAGCAGATGTCTTATAGAATCCATAACTATCATATGCCTGCAAATTAAACCCAAGGTAGGGAGAATTTCTTCCACCAGTCGTCCTCAACCAGCTGGTGTGAATCCAAAGTTTTAGCCCAATCTCCAGTCCAGTGCCTTTCACAGTGTGCTTCCTAGACCAATGGCATCAGTATCTCCTGGGAATTGGTTAGAAATGCAAGTTATGGGGCCTGCTCCAATCCTTCTGAAACTAAAACTCTGGAGGTACGGCCCAGCATCTGTATTTTAACAAGCTTGCCAGGTGATTTTGATGGATACTGAACTATGAGATAACCATGATTTCCAAACATCCCCATAACAACAGCTGAAGATTAGTTGCATGTGCCAGTAATCTTTTCCAGTTCCTATTTGTGAAATATTTATTAAGCAGGGAACATGGGGTTGAATAGGTTAAAGTAGAGCTTAGGCTTGAATACGAAATAGGCATGAGCAATGAGTGTTATTTTCACCCTGTGGGTTTAGATACAGTGGCATGATGCCTACTTAAAAAAACGAAATGTGGCAGCAAAAGGAATTGGGTGCAGGAGATATTGGAATGAGAGAGAACCTGGGGGGTAGTGATTATAATTTGCATAGGGGGACAGACGGAGGCTTTTCAAAGGAAGGGTTAACCCAACTCAGTAACTGACTGAACTAGAGTGGATAGAATCAGGATATTGGTGATTGAGGGAGGGGGCTCTCCAATGTGGGAATAAAGTGAATCCATCGTTGGGCGTGTTAACTTTGAAGTGATTATTTTAAGGACATACGTGGAGAAAGAAGAGTTGAGAGCTCATCTTTAAGTAGTATAGAGTAAGAGAATTGGAAAAGGTTTTTAAGAAAAGTAAAGCAATGCACCCATTCTTTCCTCAAATGCTTATTGTATGCCTGCCACGTGCCTGGCACAGTTCTAGGTTCTCAGCATACAGTAATAGACAAACCTGGCCTTCAGAACCAAGACTTTGATAGAAGACAACCAAATAAAAAACAAACGAACAAGGTAAATTCAGATAATACTAAGGGCCAAGAAAGAAAATAAAGTAACAGTCAGTAAGAAGGGACTTAAGGAATTGAGAACCTCTTTAGATACCTGGTCAAGGGAACACCAGAAGTAGTGACATGTGACAAAGATCATGGTGGAAGATAATTTTAGGAAGACAAAAGATGCTGGTGTCCTGAAAGAGAATTTCAGGAAAGCATATTAGAGGGTTTGTTGTACTTTTTGCCCTTCCAGAGGCTATCCTATATGAAATGTTTGGAAAGAGAGGTCTGTGTATTAGAAGGAACATGGCTTAGAGACATCCCAGCTCATCCATTTCAAGTATTTGTGACTGCACAGAAACTCTTCAGTGTCTTTGAGGCTTACTCTTCTTAAAAGAGCAATGAGTAATATCTGATGGGATTAAATTGTGATGATTAGATGAGAATGAATTTAAAGCAACTAGCATGGTGCTTGGAACATAAGTACTTAATGATAATTATTAATAACAGTAATGCTGAATGAAACATAAAATTCAGTCATGTGAAATGCAGTTTTGTTTAGTCACATGATACATAATTTTATTTAGAAATTATACTTTGATCTTTTATAATACGAAGCATTTTAAGGGCATGAGATTACAGCTAAAAATATTTTTATAATTAAATGCTGTGCTTTGATTAATTTACCTGATGACATTTGCTTACATGCACAATATTGTAAGATGAATTTTAGTAATTTATATTTTCTCCTTACAGATGTACATATCTCATGATTGATGTGGAAAAACTAGTCATGGGTCAAAGGTCAAGACACTTCTCTGGGAAATGCTGATGCTGCTTTACAAAGTCATACAATGAATGTTTGGTTTAAGAAAGATTTTCATATTTAAAAGATTTTCATCTTGGAAATATATCAAGTGAAAATTAGAATCTTTTGGGAAACATTTTCCTCCTAAAAAATTATCCTTGTAATGGGCGACATGGCAAACAACTCTGTTTCATATAGTGGAGTAAAAAACTCTTTGAAGGAAGCTAATCATGATGGAGACTTTGGAATTACGCTCGCAGAACTGCGGGCTCTCATGGAGCTCAGGTCTACAGATGCTTTACGAAAAATACAGGAAAGCTATGGAGATGTCTATGGAATTTGCACCAGATTGAAAACATCTCCCAATGAAGGTGAGTTTTATTGCATTTGATTTTACTTCTTTGTGCAGAGAGGACTGTATACTTGGCTTATAAATGAATATGCTTATATTGTCTTGGCTATTTGTATGATTGTACCATAATTTTTGTGATATTAAAGATGGGTTAACTATTGGATTGGTGCAGTTAAAGTATCTTTAGATCAAGAAATAACATTAGTTTGGGGAAAGCAGGAGGGAGGTGGGAGTGGGGAGGAGAAGGGATCATTGCGGGGAAAATGGAGGACATCTGTAATACTTTCAACAATAAAAAAAGAATAATAAAAAAAGAAATGTTGCAAGTTACTTAATATATTTTTGGTTGATATGAGGAAATATTTTATACTGGTGTACATACTGTTGCTGCTTGTTTATTATAGCAAGCTTGTCTTTCCCCTTGAGCTAAGTATGGGAGCAGGCTTGGTAACCCTCAGAGGCATTCAGTCGAAATAAGCTCTGCTCACTAGTCTCTGTTTTGCCAGGTGATTTAAAATAGTTGTCACTTACAGTAGCTACTGAGTTGCTTTTAACCTAAACTTTAATAATTAGTTCAGATGGTCCTAAAGCAAATGGAGTAAATTAAATGGCAGTGTTTGACCGGGCAGGCATTTCCTTTGATTAAAAATAGTTTTTAATCTTGGAATTACATTTAGTTTCCCCTCCGTTCACAGAAGCCTTTGGTTTCATTATTCTTGATTTGTAATGGGTTTCCTTTTTGGAAATCAAGAAAGGAAAATTCATTATAACGTAATTGCAGTATGTTCTTTGAAGACTGACAGACTTCAGAGGGAAGAGGGGAGGCAGGAGGAGATAAACCAAGGAACTTACATGAGTATGTACATAACCGATGGACACAGAGAACAGCGTGGGGGCCTGTTGTAGGAGGGCCATCTCTAAAAATAAATCAATATATTTCTAAAAGGATGGCCTTTTATACATTGATCATGTTGAACATAAAATTAATGTTACATAGTTTCAAGTTGCAAAGGGAGGGAGAAGAATACATGAAGATGATTGGTGCTAACTACAATTTAGAAAGGATGGGAAATTATTAATGCTGAAACTTAAAAGTATATTAGTATATATTGCAAAGCCAATTCTAGAGAAATTATGCAGAAGTGTTTTTCTTAGCTTTTTTTCCTGAAACATGCCATTCTACTACTTGTAATAAAAATTAAAATAATAGCAAAAAGCCCTGGCCAGTTTGGCTCAGCGGTTAGAGCGTCGGCCTGCGGTCCGGAGAGACCCAGGTTCGGTTCCCGCTAAGGGCGCGTACTTCGGTTGCAGTTTGTCCCCGGCCCTGGTTGGTCGTGCGGGTGGCAGCCACTCGATGTGGCCCTTCACGTCGATGTTTCTCTCTCCCTCCCTTCCTCTCTCTCCCTCCCACTCTATCTGTGCAAAAAATGGAAAAATATCCTCGGGTGAGGATAAAAAAAAAAAAATAATAGCAAAAAGTTATTTCCAAAATTGTTAAAGAATTTTAAATAACATTAAAATTATTTTTTAATGTTTGTATAATTTTATGTGACTTTCTTATTCTTTCAATGATGAGTAGTTACTTGGATTTCTCTGAGGTTGCATAACCTTGAGGACAATAGTGTGCACACATATAGTAAAAGAGCTTTCTCACTTACTTGGAATATGTTCTTTTTTCTGCAAGACCAATTAACTCCCAGATTTTCTGGACCTTATCCTCAAGTTGGAACAACTAGAAACATGAATTCTTCTTAGTTATACTTTCAATATGCTGTAGCATCTTAAGGTAGCTGGGATTCGTGTTGTTGATGTAAATTCTGGGTATCAGGAACAGACCCATGGAGGTTAACAGATAGTAATTTGATAAAAATACGGAGTTCATTATGCATACCCACTTGAAATGTTAACTGACTTCAGATCACCTCAGAGATTTGCACATTAATACACTGTTCTCATTTATTCAACCATGTGTACTTATTACATTTAATCTAAAACCTAATTGTTGGGTGTTTCATGACTACTAAATTGATAGGAGGCATTAATATTAAAAAGCGCTCAATATAAAAACATGGTTTATTCATAAAAATGATACTGAACTTCAGTTTTAAATCTCTACTTAACTGTACTTCCCCCAAGCATGTCTTTGCATTACTCTACTATTAATTAAAACCCTGTCTTCTGATAATTAAATATTTCTCCATGGTGTGTTCTCATTTTTATAGATACGATTTTTATTAGTTTGCACTAGAGTTTCTTTTGTGCAATTATTTTGGGCAGTACTCCTCCTATTGATTTTGATTTAATTAGTGAAGTTTATTGAGTTATCTGAAAACGTTGCATCAGTACATTTTTAAAATTTGAGGAGGGGATGGTTTTGTACCCCTTTGGCAACATTATGGAAGCTGTGAATAATCTCTAGAAATTGTCACTTAACCCTCAAATTTTATGTATTGTTGCTGCTTTATGCTATTAAATAAATGTGTGCAATATTTTTCCTTCTTAGAAAATTCTTGCTCATCTTTCTAGTATTGTGAATTTAATTTTTTTAAAAAAATTTGTACAAACTGTTGTCTTCACTGTTTTTTTATAGTTTGTCATTTTTAAATTTTTTACTGAGTATGAAAAAGGCCATTTTGCACATCAAATTTGTATTTACAGTTGTAAGAATAAATAAGAACAGCAGCAACCAGACAAGAATATTCTTTCCAAAGTAATAGTTCTAGTTTAATTTAGAAATATTTCACTCAGAAAGCTGATGAACTTTTTATCACTGATCAAGTAGGTGAATGATGATAAATATGAATCATCATCGGGAATCATCCGCTAGGAGTTAACTGCCTAAGAAAATGGTCTAGACGTCAAGTACTTTTTTGTTATTATAACCTGTTTATAATCAGGGAAACTAAGAGTAAAACAGTTTTTCGAAATACATGAATTTTGGTTAGATAAAACTGAAGTTTATCTTTCCCTTCAGTTCGTTCATTCATTCATTCATTCATTCATTCATGTCTTGACACATTCTTTCACCAGATCTATGTTGTTAATTGTCATGTATTTTATGTACCCCCTAAAAAAGTTTAGTGTTGGCAGTTTTAATTGTAAGATAATTTAAGTATATGATTAAGTTACATCTCGATTTCAGAGATGTTAATAAAATGTAAGAATGTGTGCATCTTCGAATTGCTGGGATATTGTGTTCATCGGGAATCTATTATGTGGCAGGTACTTTTTTAAGGCTCTGAACATGCATTCAAACAAAAATTATAAACAAAACAAAAATTCCTGTCTTATATTTTTGTGGGGGAGACAAAATCACAAGACAGCTAAAGGAAATGTGTAGTGTGATAGGTACTTTAGAGAAAAATTAGAGGAGAAGGAAAACCAGAAATATTGGGGTTGCTACTGTTAGATTACTGTAAAGTCTGGAGGAACATTAGACATTTCTTAAGAACAGCAACAACAAAATAGGTTAGCACATAACACTTTTTGTGCCAGATTGGTTGTTAGCACTCACTAATATTAACTCGTTTTCTCCACACAATCACCTTATCCTGTTTTACAGCCCAAGAACCCACAACACAAAAAGCTTACGTGACTTTACCTTAAGTCTCACATTTCATAAGCCCAGAGCACGGATTCACACTGTGACATTCTGGCTACAGTGAACATGCTTTTAACCACTCCACTCTGTTGTACTTGGCTATTATAAAATTTCAGCTCATACACTTTGCAAAAGTGTTAAGAATATTAAGGAAGAGTGATTATCTTTACTCTTAAAAGAATTAGAACTATAAACTTTGAGGTTAACAGGAATTGAGATTTGTAACTTCATATTTTTAGCTTTTTCTATTAAAGCAAGCACCTGTCTTGTCCTCAGAACCCAAGAATGTACTTTTATGCCAAAATAACCTGCTTCTGACATCCTAATTGCATGAAATTGCCATGACAAGATTTTATTCTATATCTTTACTGTTTTCCTACATTACTTTCTTATTTCTATTCTAAATCATATTTTTACACTAGCTTTTAGTATCTTTTCCGTTTTAATATTATATCTTATATTGAGTTATAGGCTAGACTTTCAAATGATAAGATGTGTAGTATGCAGATCTCTGGCCTTGGTGTCATATTTATCATTCCGTTATACTGCAGTAAACAGAGGGTAAAAATGAATTTATAAAAATTAAAGACAGGCAGTGAGTGTATTCTGTAAGAGGCATGGCTTTGTGGACTTGGAAAGATCAAGAAAGCAAATAAAACACTAAGCTTTTTAAATGGTGGTTGCTAAAATTAGTTAGAAGAGAAAAAAGCAAAGGAAATAAGAAAAGGAAACAGTGGTAGAAACAGAAGGTAGTGTGGTAGGAAGCTGAGAGAGTCACCAGCAATTGTCCTTTGCTGACTAATGTTTCCATAATGTTTCAATGACGGTTTATATTTGCACTCATAGAAGAAGTAAGCCTGTTAGTAATGGTGTGTTTAACCACATTGTCAGGGTGTAATACAATAAAACTAACCTTCACACATGAAAATCTATTTTAACTCTCAAAACATCAGCCCTTTGCCCAGAATAAGTCATTATTGACCTGTTGGTTACTACAAGAACACTCTGATGCCCTGATGTATGTGCTTGGTTATGCAGGTTGGCACAGCCCTTGCAGGCTTTTAGCAAGGATTTGCATGGCTGTGGCATGTCAGTCACAGATGCTTCAATACGGGTACAGAGCAACTAACAAGGGTTTTATGTTGATAATTCTGTATGACCTTGTCCTAGAATTTTATTGCTGCTGTAGTAGAAATAGAGAATTACACATTTAATACCTGCTCAGGTCACTAGTTTTCTTGAAGATAGCTGTAACATTGACTACTCCTCTAACTTTGTAGCATACATATTATTTTATGAAGTTGTACTTGATAGAGCCTGAAGCAGCATAGTTTTAGAGTTTTTTTAAAGTTTAGTTTTCTGAGTATAATGGACCTATTTTCTTCTCAAAATAGTCTGTTCTGGCTTTCATAACATTA